ATCGGATGAGATTTGACCGAGCTATGGGTATGGGAAGTTTTGAATACGTCTATATAGGATATTTAAGGGTCCCATTTTGACATGAATTTCGATCAAAAATTATGTATCCAGATTTTGATGCAGGATTGATAATGAGGCCAAGCCATGAACAAAAAGCCAAACCTCGTAAAAATCGGATGAGATTTGACCGAGCTATGGGTATGGGAAGTTTTGAATACGTCTATATAGGATATTTAAGGGTCCCATTTTGACATGAATTTCGATCAAAAATTATGTATCCAGATTTTGATGCAGGATTGATAATGAGGCCAAACCATGAACAAAAAACCAAACCTCGTAAAAATCGGATGAGATTTGACCGAGTTATGGGTATGGGAAGTTTTGATTACGTCTATATAGCAAATTTAAGGGTACCATTTTGACATGAATTTTCGACCAAAAATTATGTTGCGAGATTTTGATGCAGGATTGATAATGAGGCCAAGCCATGAACAAAAAGCCAAACCTCGTAAAAATCGGATGAGATTTGACCGAGTAATGGGTGTGGGAAGTTTTGATTACGCCTATATAGGATATTTAAGGGTCCCATTTTGACATGAATTTCGACCAAAAATTATGTATCCAGATTTTGATGCAGGATTGATAATGAGGCCAAGCCATGAACAAAAAGCCAAACCTCGTAAAAATCGGATGAGATTTGACCGAGCTATGGGTATGGGAAGTTTTGAATACGTCTATATAGGATATTTAAGGGTCCCATTTTGACATGAATTTCGATCAAAAATTATGTATCCAGATTTTGATGCAGGATTGATAATGAGGCCAAACCATGAACAAAAAACCAAACCTCGTAAAAATCGGATGAGATTTGACCGAGTTATGGGTATGGGAAGTTTTGATTACGTCTATATAGCAAATTTAAGGGTACCATTTTGACATGAATTTTCGACCAAAAATTATGTTGCGAGATTTTGATGCAGGATTGATAATGAGGCCAAGCCATGAACAAAAAGCCAAACCTCGTAAAAATCGGATGAGATTTGACCGAGTTATGGGTGTGGGAAGTTTTGATTACGTCTATATAGGATATTTAAGGGTACCATTTTGACATGAATTTCGACCAAAAATTATGTTGCCAGATTTTGATGCAGGATTGATAATGAGACCAAGCCATGAACAAAAAGCCAAACCTCGTAAAAATCGGATGAGATTTGCCAGAGTTATTTTTATTCTCTTCTCTAAAACTATAGAAATTTAAAAATTAGAAAATTCGGTTAAACTCCTACAGTAACCAACCCAATATCTAATGAAGAAGACTTTTATTGTTATCACACTTGCTTGAAAAGTAAATTTAGATACATTTCCGATCGAGTGCGAATCGATTTCGAAACATTTTCATTTCTACTCGATATCGATAGCTAACTACTAGAAGACCTGTTTTTAATTAACTGTGCTTGCTGATATACAATTTAATGTTGAAATAGGCAGCGCCAATTATTTAAAAAATATTTTTTTACCCGAAAAAGCCTAATTAATATATCAATTTACTTAATTGCAGTCATATGATCGACAACATAAAAATAGAAAATGTTTGCTGCTGCACAAAAATAAGACCGATGTGCATGGTGAAGATTCACACTATATGATGGTCGAACCACCTCCGTTCGATATTTATCTTTGCGATAATTGCGATGCCGAGTTATATTCCACAGAAGCAATTTTGGTAAGTTCATTAACTTTTATTTTAGTATATATTTTATATACTTTCAAGCCGCATTTTCTCCAATAAACAGTAAAAAAAAAAAAATTTTTTTTAATTCTATAAAAAATATATATTTAAGATTTGTTGTTGCGGATTAGTTTTCTAAATATTAAATGAAATGATTATTTTCATACTGTTGGAGTTATGAACAAGTAATTAACAAGGAGGTAGTACTTACCTCTGTGTGAAAGTTCTTACGGCGAAGAATTACATTTTGTTGTAATCGGTTTAAATAAGTGAAATAAAGTAAATCAGGAAAATTGGAAAGACAGCCGAGAAGACTCGGACTATTATTGGACTAAGCCAATTAAGAAAGAAGTTCTTACTTTTATCCCGAGGGATCAATCAAATCTGAAATCCGTTTCAATCCTTGCTAAAGTGATATTTACATGGTTTGAGTATAAACTCAAATGGATCAGTCTACTGAAACTGACGACGAATTGCCAAATATATATTATCTGCGAGACAGAATTGCTGAACCATTTCCATGTAGGGTTCGCTTGGCAGGAAGGAGACGTTTAAAATGAGTCAGATTGTTATTCGCTTCAATGAAGTTTATTGCGTAGTCGGACCACATATGGCTGGGTTTCCCACGAATAGCGTTAAAACGTTTATGGACACTCAAAAATTAACGCAGTTGATACGTCCTTGACTACGAACTTTCGCCTCATAGAAGGGGTTCGCAAAAGTCAGCTCCAGTTACTATAAACGCTCGAACGGCTTCCAGAAGCTCCTTTGGGAGACTTGGCATCACAGGCTCTATGAAACTCGGCCTCGTTCTGAAGTATTTCACACATCTATTAACTTTAAAGCACTTATCAATCTAACAACCCATCAACATTGAAACCAATTCGAAATAATGGGATGTTGCAGTTTACAGTCCAGAGAAGAGTGCTGCTATGGCGTTCACCCACCCGGAGGAGTTCACCTACACTAAAAAAAAAAATTGTACTACATCTCCAATGAACCTGCTTTGTCGCAGGACAAAAATCTAAATTTGTGTCACGGGATTATTATCACATAATTTAATTTTTACGTCGTTTTATTTGCAGGAACATGAAAAAATATGTAACATGGAGGATGATGTGATTTTATGCGACTCTCCGGAACCAGACAGCAAAATTGATACTAAAAATGAAAACATTGAATTAAGAAATGCGTTCCTTCTTAATTTTTGTCTTCAATCTAAAGCAACAAATTATAATAATTCAAAAAAAACACAGGGAACTAATTCATATAGTGAAGAATTAGTTACGATGACTTCAAACAGAAATAGACGCATTTCAGCAAGGAGAAATCGAGCAGTACCTTCACTTAACAGATGTTCATTTATCCCAATATCATCTCCAGCTGGACAAAAATTACTATCGTCAATAAAACAGACAATATCTATGGAATATGTATTCGAAAGACAAGAGCGTTTGGACCGGTTTTGCTACACACCATTGTTATTAAAATCAAGTTGCAAGCATAAATTTTTTGAAAAAAAAAATTGTACAAACAACATACACATTACATTCAAAAAAATGCAGGATTTTAGTTCACACATATATGCTTTTCCACGTCGACAGTTTTTGCAACGAAGGGACATCACGCAAAACTTTTTGTTTCTTAATTCTCCTTTGATTAAAAAGTGCCGTCCAATTTCGGTCAGATTGAAAAAACTGACTGACAACATCGGAGATCAATTTCCTATTTCCAATACTAAACTTAATATTAGGTTAACACGCGACACTTCACTTAACTCTCAATGGAGAATTTCGCCCTCAACCGAGGTGGTTGTCGACACAATAGATTTGTGTTCGTCCGATGATGACGATCCATCAAGTGATAGGTCAAAATTTATAAATAGAGATACGCTTACTATAATGTCTTTATCGCATAATAAGGAAGTTGCTGCCAGGCAAAACAATCATATAGGAGAAAGTGAATGGACTTCCCTTGCCGGTTATTCACAATCAACAGGCGATAACTCGCTTAAACCATTAAAGCAATCTGTATACATTTTTTCCAATTATAAGACTAACTCAGTACTGAACACATTTAGTCTTGAGTCGAAAGCTAATAGCTCAGAAAAAGCGCTAAGTCCATCAAGTAATTTTTCACATTCATATAATCAAGAAAATTGTGATTTATCAAAAAGAATAGTGACTGTTCCTGACTGGTGTGCAGCAAGTTCAGAAAAGTCAGGTATCAATCAAACCGACACCATTGATTTTGAAAATCTTTCAACTGTGCAACCCTTTAACTCGTCTGGTAGAGTAATTTCCATTGATTTAACAACGTAGGAATAGCAAGTAAGTTTGATTAAGTAATATAATGTTATTTCATATAATAAACTTTGTAAATATCTAAGTTTTTTCCAACCTAATCTTTTTTAATTGGGCAGGGAAGAGTTTCCCTCTGATTTTGGCTGAAACCAGTTTGCTGGTAGGCTGTAAAAGCATTTGCCTCTTTTACTGTCACTGGCTCAGCTAGATTATAACACTGCCAGTCTACTTTTCGGTTTGAACAGTAGGCTTTCCTGTGTGCGCTGGCTTCTGACCTCGCAGTGGTCTTTGCTTGCGTATGGTTGTTGCGGGTAGACTCAGTTTAGGTTAGGCTTTAGATATTCTTGACTTGTGCTTGAAAATAAGGCTTACGGTGGTTATATAATTGACAACGCCGGGCAATGGACTGCCTACATGGGGGTGCCTCCTGCGCTTAATAACGCGGCCGACCTCTCGGGCTCCGCATCGCGATCGCACCTCGATCAGCCTGGAGTTGAGCACTGTCTCCACGCTGACGAAGGGAGTTCCAAGATCCTTCGGTATGAAAAGTTAATTCCCGACAGGCGGAAGGTACACGTGATGTTAAGGTTGCAAACACCAATCACTATACGTACTTCCAAATATTTACAAAATAACTCCTTAAGAAAGTTTCCCACACTCTACAGGCTGTTAGAAAAACTGTGATGGATGCAATAAATAGAAGCACAGATATTTACGAATCAAACCCGTTATTTAATCAATCTCTACAAAGAAACGCTTCATATACATTTGTACAATGATTTATTTTATTATATAAAGTAAGGTTATTTTAAAATTATACAAATACATTTCTAAGAACCATCTTACTGGAAGGACACTGATCCACTCGCCATAATTACATTCAGTTGGTCAAGATGATGTGGTGTAAGTGTCTGCGTATACAAATCAAAATACAATGTTTGTCATTTAAGCCATAATATAATACGTACTTGGTTAGGTAAGCCTGTTTCTCCAAAAAGGAGGTCGTGTCGTCGTGCAGTACGTCCGCGTACTTTCGGACTTTTATCAGGGCAACTAAAATTGAAATATAAATAAAAAATAACAACAAAACTTCTTGATTACTAACATTCTGAAACATTTTTTAGTAATCCGAGGAATTGCATACTGTTTCGAATAATTGGTTGATTGTTGAGTAAACTTCATTTGTACCTAATAATATCGTGAGCACTCCAAATTTGCTTGCATCATGTAAAAAAAAGTACAATATTCTTTTTTTTTAAACGAGTATTTTACAAATTTATCATTCAATGTGTTGTCTTTTTAATATTTTAATGTTAAAGTCGTTTTATTTGTGGTCTTAGGGCTCTTGATTTTCTTAAGTTGGTTGCGTCATTGAAATGGATTCATACATTTCTTTAAATTATATTTGTAAGTCAACTTGCCAAATTAAGGCTCGTTAGAAAATTGAAGGTCGAAAAGGTAACCTCACACACCTAATCATGCTCAGAGATATATGCTAAACTGTCTATCTCTTGTGACTGCTGACGAACGGCAGGTTCCCTCAGAGGCCACTCAGCAGACTCGCAGGCGCCCTTTCGAATGATCTTTGATCACAGTTAATGGCCACTCTGCTCGTACATTAGGTTGTCGACTCTCCGCTCTGCATTGGTTGGTCCCTCTTTCTTTATGTTTCTGTCCCACATCTGTTTTTTCAACTATGCGGTAGATACCCAGCACGAGGATTCCCCGAATACTCGGTAGGTCATTAGGGATGGTTAGTACCCCCATTGGTTGGGCCCCCGTTTATCTTTCTCTCCCCTACTCGTTTTTCAACCATGCAGTAGATACCCAGCACGAGGAATCCCTGAATACTCGGTGGGTCATTGGGGATGGTTGGTACCCCCAGCAACGACACGACCAACCTCCTGTCCCGGATCTCAGCAAACAATAAATTTTACTCCAGATGTCCCAGGAAAGAGCAAGCTGGGCTGCGGCGAAGCCCAAGAAAAATTCCTTACAGTTGGCGCCCGAATAGAGCCTCCGAGATTGGCGGATTTGGTATATTTCCTCCACACAAGCAAGAAGAAGAATGTTAACATGTAGGCTTACCATGTGGCCATGGTCTTATGATTGGACCTTACCTCATAGGGCATTCAGATAACAGACAGAGCAACAGAGCGGCGACGAAGTAACAGAATCACAACAGTGACGTGGAAGTGACGCACCGTTACAACTCCGCGAGAGAGAGAGAGAAGCAGTGTAGACAGTGAGGCCGCCCGACACCTGTAGTAAGGAAACCGAACAGCGCTGCGAGGGGAGGCTGCGAAGCGAATATAGGAGAGCACCTTAGGAGTGGCGGACAATCTTTGATACGCGATCAATGTAACCAAATCGGAAAGAAGTATTCGCGACATGCGTTAACTAGAAATCTTCGGTAAACTTACGCAACAATTTCGGCATCATACCTGCAGTTAACTGGCTGTTTAATTTATTGTCATACTCTAAGTGACCCCACGTGATTCAGTAATAGGGTCCCCAACGATCGATCCCTCGAAGGATAACAAAGGGAACTTCACTGAACATTCCGAATTCGTGAAACCGAGCAGACCAACAAAGAAACCGTAGGACAACGAGTGATTCCACCGACTGCGTAGATACCGAGAACGCGTCTACTGAATTCTACACAACCTAATCGGGTTGCAACTTACAACCACTAGATCCTGCCGTCGCACATGTTTGAAATCTGTTTCATGAACCCAGTTGGATATCCGGACCATTGACAACGGAGAGGAGATAGCAGCAACGAACGACACGGTTAACCTGGCCATGATTGCAGCCATCGCGACAGGGTCCAACCGGCCGAGGAAGAACAGGTTTCCTAAAACCTGTGCTCCGTCAGCGAGCACAGCCCTAATTTGCTGGGTGCTCTGTACGCGGAGGCGCCGACGGGGTTGGGCGCTCCAAGGGCATATACCGAGTGGTGCAAGGGAATACTCAGCAGAGACAAAGCCACAAAAATAAACTCAGGAGGCGAGATTTGCTGCCCACCCTAGGGACACTGGTATTAGTATGCCAACACAACGTTTCCATGACGGCCGAGGACATCGCGGACAAACTAGTTTAAACATTCGACAATAGAAGATAGGAGAAGAAGAAGACTTAAGAGTCCTCAGCTAGTGACAAAGCGGGCGAATTAGCTGGCGACCTGATTATAAAGCCCAACGACTTAGACTTGGAGCGAGCGAAGAGAGATGAGTTAACAAGCAGCAGGGTTTACGAGAGCAGATATCTATCGTATATCTATGTGTATATCCCCTCTAGAGATAAACTAAGTAAGCAAGCAACAAGATGTTGAGATGTCCGTCTCCACGTGAGTATAACCAACAGGAAAAACAATACACACAAGCCTTGAAAGCAGAAGATGTCAATGCAGTGCTTCCTGTTGGTTCGTCCTTATGAGATTGGAAAATAAATAATAACTAAGTTAATAAAATTGCCTCACATAATTGTCTCGATACAAATGAGAAATACTAAATCCTGATTAAACCGAATGTTGACGGACTGTCAAACAGATTCTGTCTTGCAAGCGAAACCCCGATTAAAAGCAAGGACCAAATATTTCCTAACGTTATTTTTCATAACAGCTCCAAAGATTTTAAAAGAACGGTAATGTTATATACATTCCCTGGCTGTAGAGACCGCTGGCGATAATAATCCAGGCATCGGTTTTAAAAATGTGTATCATTTGGACTAAAACTTATAATTAATACTAAATGAAGGGTTATTAATAACTAGCTCTTACTTTTCAATATCTGTGTTGGATGGCGAACATCTTGTTTCCGGCACTTGATCTTCGATAAAGGATGGTTCTTCGCGCGGAATATCATAAGTTCCGTTGCTGATTAGAGACTTTTGCGACCAGCTGCGATTTAAATTATTTAAGCGAAGCTTGTCATCCATATTTAAAGAATCAAATAAATCCAAAATTTGTTCATTATTGCTGTTTGCCAAAAAAAATTGCAAAATTTGCTGTTGTATGCCACTTTCATGTTGGGCTTCTTTAAGTAAGGCTTCATGTTCTTGCAAACGGTTTTCGATCATTGACGAATTGCACGTAATAAATATTGCGTTGTCTGACAATTTTTGAAGCAAGTATTTTGCTTCTTCCACTGTACTTATTGTGTCTAAGATGCCCTGAATTTTAAACGCATCATTGTGCGCTGGGTCTTTCATATCTTCAAACTCCATAATAGCTTTTTGAACATGTTCTATATTTTCCTGTACATAGCCTATATTTGTTTTTAGATTATCTTCTTCGTTTGAATACTCAGATCCCCCTTCAACATTTTGCGGATCTTTTATTATTTTCAATTCTCGGCAGAGTTGTTCCCTTTCTTTAACAAGGCGTTCCAATTCAGACTCCAATTGACTAATTAATTGCTTGTTTCTGGCCGATTGTATTATAGTGCGAGATAATGTTTCCCAACGATGATGCAAGGAGCGTGTTTGTTCCATTTTGGACGCTGACTGTTTTGCCGTTCTCTGCCATACATGCCCACTGCGTTGGCTTCTGCGCAGTGCGGACACTTCTTCAGTTTTCCTTTTCAATATTTGCTCCTTTGCACTCATTTTGGCTTGTAAAGACAAAACCTCATTCTTTTGCCGTCTCTGCTCCTTACGTAATTGGGCAATTTCTCGCGTTTTTCTTGTATTTTCCTCTCTATGCTGGCTTGTTTGCTCTGATATTTTCTTCATTAACCTTACCTAAAATATTTAAATATTTTTAATAGTTTAATTTGGGATGCAATGGTTATTATTAGTATTATCTTTTTGAATCTTAAACTAGTATGTTTAAATTCTTACATTTAATTGAGTACTTGCCTTACTACATTTTAATTCATTAAGTTCCATTCGCAAGTTTTGCAGTTTTATTTCTTGTGTTTTGAGCTCCTTTTGTTGTCGAATATGTTCTCTTTGTGTCTGTTGCAATCTTTTGAGTTCGCGGTTCATGTCGTTAAGCTTACGCTCATATTCCATTTTAACTGATTTTAAATTGTCTTTTGGTTGATTATTTGAAGAGGAAGCTGCAAAAATATTACGATTTTTCAATATGTTAATAGAATGTTTTAATTTATCGATGGATCCCCACGTTTCTCATTTATCAACAATATTGGTTTCCAGTCTCAGGTTTTATTTGATTAAGTTCGGACTCCTGTTCTTTTTTATATACGACGAGATATTCTCTATAATGTTTAAATCTTGGATCTGAGGAAACCACTACAAATTGTAAGCCCCAACATCCTTCAAGAATTCAGAAATGATTGAAGCTTTTCAGGCAATTCCCAATTGGTGCCCTCCAGGCACCCCCATCCAGCGAATTCAATAAGCAAGCCAGTATAACTGGTCTTCCAGTGCGTATCAGCATTACCAATATAGGAAAAATATAGGATTGCCAGCGCAAACCACTTTAAACGCCATAATATATATAAATGAATGTACAAATGTATGTTTGTATAAAAATGTATGTAAGCATATGCACCAGAATATGATGATCGAATTTGTAAATTTAATTTTTATAGTCCAATTCTACAACCGGGATTCGAGCGTGCGAAAATTGAGGCAAAGGGTAATATTCACGGCAGATAGCATAGTATAGTATATATATTTGATTTAATGTAAAATACAAAAATAATGCAATTCCATTTTTGAATATCTAAGGTATAACAAGATAGTCTGAACAAAGTATCACCTGAAAACTTACCCATATTTGCTAACACCTCATCTCTTTCCTTTTGCGTACTAAAGATTTTCGATGTTAATGCAGTCAGCTTTTCTTCATAGTGTTGCCGCATAACTTGCATTCTCTCTTGAGACAGCTCCAACTGTTCAATTAATTTAGTTTTTATTTCTATATCTGAATTAATTTCATTTAAATCATCTTCCATTTCTTTTTCTGCAAAGAAAAAAATTAAAAACGAAATTTAATACATTCATTTAATATACTCCTAGTTTATTATTACCATTAGGATCACTTTCGCTGTCTGAAAATTCCAGTTCTATTAAATGATTATTTTCATTTGGTATGCCAGGTAATGAGCGAAACATTAAGAGTTCCCGTTCTTTCTCTAAGCCTCTTTTTGCTATGTCTATAATAACGTTCGGATCTGCGAAATATAAACTATGAAATATTTATCACAATAGCGTTTATAAGAATTCTTACCGTCGCGAACTGTTTTATTCGCACGTGGTGAATTTCCTGTCGAATTGTATTTCTTCAACTGTTGACACATGTCTTCCGATTCTAGTAATTTTGCTTGTAATTTTTCAATCTCAATTATATAATTTCCAACCATATTGGCAACTGTCATATCAGAGCCGTCGCCATTTGCCCATTCGTGAGTTTGTTTTTCAAGTTTAAGCTGTGCATTTCGGTCTACTAAGATGTTAATAGTCTCCTGCATTGATTTAAGTCGCTGCTGTAATCGTTTATTATCAGCCAATAACATTGTATTTTCATAAAATGTGTCTGAAATTGACGTATTCCCTTGAGAATCTAACACACGTTTACCCTGAAAAAAAAAAAACAGTATTACAATATGGCATTATTATATTATTATTAGTTCCCAATTGATATTAAACAAGTTGTATTTACCTGTTTATATTCCAAAAGCTCCAATTGCAAGGCTGCGACTTCTCTTCGCAATAACGAAATTGTTCGAGAACTTTGGTCTTGGTTAATCTGAACTTTGTTTTTAATATTGCGGGCTCTATTTGCATACTTCAATGTATTCAATGTTTCCATAAAGTCCCGATCACTTGGAGATATGCAGGCAATCATTAATGTTTGACTATTACCTCCCAAAGAATCTTGTAGAAGTCGTGTTAGCTTTGAGTCTCGATATGGCACATGCGAAGCCTTCTTTGATTTATCTCCCAATGCAGAAATACAATTTCCAAGTGCTAGCAGGCCACAATTAATTGATATTCCCTCGCGGGCACGTTCTCCTGTGGCTAATGTTCGTTTTAAACGTTCCGAACCAGCTAAATCAACAAAATGAAACTTAGACGTCAAAGTTTCAAAGTCGCTATCCACAAAATTTACTTTTGGCTCAACTACATGCTGTCTGCGAACAAATATTGTGAACACTGCATGCGATCGAGAAGATAGATCATTCATTTTAGTTGAAGCAGTTGTTCGGGCTAAGGCGCCTTGCTGGAGAAATCTGTGACAATATAATGGAAATTGTAAGGTGGGAAATACATTTTTTAAAAAGGTTGCAGGGTGAGAGCAATATTTTTAATTTCAATTTTAAAAAACTTGCCGATTCAACGGTGGAAGCTATTCATTGTCTTGATTTGGGTGTAGCAAATCTTATTTTCGAATGAAAAGTTTATCTGATTACAGGAAGCATGAGCAAGTGATTTCTCTGTTCCAAAATTTAGCAATGATCTACTCACTTTAGGGCCTCTTGGGGTTCATTTATAGGTTTAATTGTTGCACCCGCTATATTAATTTCTCCGTTTCCACTTTCATGAATTTTAAAGGTTGAATTTTTATTGAATGGATCTAAAAGATCAATAATATCCTCGTTGTATAGTTCTATAAACTGGACAGCCACACTAAATTGTGAATTTGTGACGGAAACGTCACTATCTTCTGGATGCTGCATTCTTTCAATACCGGCGAATATATGTCGGATTGCGCGAGGTATTATTCCAAGACGATAGTCGCCAGAAGTGGGGTCAAGTCCCGTCCCCATTGTGTATGTCTTCCCAGAGCCAGTTTGACCGTACGCAAGTACTGTAGCGTTATAGCCATGTAAGGTTCCCTCAACCAAACGCTCCACACATTCGGTATATATATCACACTACGAAATAAAGAACATTAAATAAATTGATTTTTTGTGGTTGTTGCTGTAAACGTACCTGATTTGAGTCCACGTCGTATACATAATCAAAGGTAAACGCCTTGTCAGATCCTAAAACGATTTGCTGCTCACCAGGAGTTACGGTTGTGCATATTCGGCACATATCAATTAGCTCCCTTGAATTTTGCGGACGGATTCTGTATAAATCCGAAATATAAAATCAAATTTTGGTTTGAAAAACTAATTACCTTAGCTTACTTTATTCAAAAGGTCCTAAATAATAACGCAGTTTAATGGGAAATACATTTGTTTGATATGCATATATTTCAGTTTTACACTTAACCCCTGCAATTTTCGTTAATATGTGACCATAAAAACCGAATTTATTCAAGCAAATTGAAATTTTAATTCTTCAAACATTCAATGATGCTTTCCTAGAAACTTATTAGTTTTGGGTGCACCCTTTCTGTATAGCTTTGCATCCATCTGTAAGCCACGGCCGGCTATCGGAGCCTGCCGTCTTTCTATTAGGCCATTCCGCTTGAGATAAACACGTTGAATTCTCCCCCAAAGTACAGTTAAGGGAGCCCTAATACAACGTCATTTTTGGTCCCAATATATTATGTTGTCAGTTCAAACAGACATCATAGTATCCTACGATCAGCCTAGGTCGCCGGTAATTTGTTTTTAATTTGTTTATAGATTTATAAACTTCATATTTGATTTAGTTAACACATATATTTAACACTTAGCAGGAATACGCATAATAGTTTTTAATAATTATTAGTATTACTATATGCATTATATTGAAAAATTAAAGTTATACTTCTACTCGATTTTTAAGGTTTTTCTTCTAGATTTAAATTTAAATCTCGGTATAGTTACAATGTAGGAGGCGATGGCCCTAAACCAAAACAAAGGTTAAAAGACTTAAAAAAAGAACCCATTTTTACTATCATTAAGTTATAGAAAAAATCATTTTTGACTTTGTATTTGTTGCTAAACAACCAACACCAAGTTTTGTTTTATTTTTACTCACCGTACTGCAACTCGAACTAAGCAATCCTTATCGGCAGCATCAGCTTCAGTAGCCATGATGGATTGATACACTAAAATATATAGAATTCTATTAATAGTCTGTGGGTATATTGTATTGTCTGTATAACTAATTGTAATAACTATTTGTGTGATATTAATTAATTGAATTAATACAATCAATAAATAAAGTATAGATTCTTTACAAATCTTATAATACTGAGATTGTATGGAACAAAGCCTAAATAATACAGGTATTTTCTACGAACGCACATAAGAATATGTGTGTACGTGTGTTTGTGTATGTATGTATGTATGTGTGTGTGTTAGTGTATGTATGCATATACGAATATATGTATGTATTCATGCATCTTTGTTTTCTAATACCAAACGAAGACCAAGCTTATTTGTCCCTGTGCTGCAAATTTAAATATAACGAATTTCTGCCAAGTGCTCTCCTCCTCGATTCTCAAGAATTCATGTAGGCTCTGCAGATTTTCATGCCCAGCTATTAGTGTGGTGATTTTTTTGTGTTTTTTTTGTTGTTGTTGTTTTTTGTTGTTGTTTTTTTGTTGTTGTTTTTTTGTTGTTGTTTTTTTGTTGTTGTTTTTTTTGTTGTTGTTTTTTTGTTTTTTTTTTTGTATGTGTGTTAATTTGTATGTAGGTACATATGTATTTATGTACATATGAATGTATGTACATATATATATATGTGTGTGTGTGTGTGTACGTGTGTGTGTCTGTATGTGTGTGTGTGTGCCTGTGTGTGTGTGTGTGTGTGTGTGTGTGTGTGTGTGTGTGTGTGTGTGTGTGTGTGTGTGTGTGTGTGTGTGTGTGTGTGTGTGTGTGTGTGTGTGTGTGTGTGTGTGTGTCTGTATGTTTCTATGTATGTATGCGTGTGTGTATGTTTTCACATGCCTGTATGCCTGTTTGCATACACACACGCAAACATGCATTGTCATATATATACACACATGCGCACATACGTATTCAGCATGCATACATACATATGATTGTGCATGTATATATATATATGTGTATATGTATGTATACATGCATATATATACATATATATATATATATATATATATATGCGTGTGTATATGTACATATGTATACATGCAAGCGTGGTATCCGGACATGGTATCATACATGTACGCATGTTGGCATATATATATAAAACAAACCTGCACACATACATACATACAATCAGGCATACATACGCAAATTTAAAACTCGCCCAAACATTTTTTGAATCACGTTTCTACCGAGGAAACTTGTATTCGTGAAAAGTGTGAATTGATTTTCCCTAAGAAGAATGAACCCGAAACGAAACCCACCAAATCTTTGACCCCCATTTTCACCAAGGAGGATTTAAACAAAGATCTTTAATAATTAGATCGGATAGAAAACAACAAAGTTTCATACGTTTTTCGCAATTGTTCCACACATGCGGGTGGAATTTCCCAAAAACCACTCTTTATCACATAATGTAAGTACATTAAAATTTCCTAGTTCTTACGGTTTGGGCTGTGCCTTGATCAGCCAGTCAGTCGGGACAAATAGTTTTATGTATAGAAATAATAATCAGCATAATGAAAAACTTTTCGCTTTATAGCCTTCATCTTTTACACCTTACTCTAATTAGCTGCCAATATTAGGTAGTAGAGAACTTGTTAATAACAAAATATATATACATTTAACAAAAAAAAAAAAATGAAGTGTTCAGGGTATACCCTAGTTGGGAACTACTGACAAGAACCTCGTGTTCCTTTTCTTCCTTATATCGGTTTGTTCAGTTGATTTCTCGGCAGACGAAATAAATTATTTGTTTACATTTTTAAAGTGCTTGCTAGCTTAACAAGGAGAGGGGGTAGCCAAATCTGATGCTGATTGCAAAAAATTCAGGGTACTTCCTTACTTACTTGTTTTAATGGGAAATTGCTTTCTGATGCTTGTCACCAATTTCGAAAAAGATAGCGCTAAGACAGAATACGGTTATTTTGTGACCAGTTATAAAAATCCAATTAATTTTAACTTTGAACAGTGCAAAGCCTTCTCCGTTATATTTTAAACAATTGGGAATGATTTCTTTTTACAGATTTTAAATTTCTTTGTGACAATTTGACAAGTGGATACCGTTTGGTTAACCTCCAGTTAATATATAGATCGATTTTTATCGATTGTATACCGGGCAAGTTGTCGATTATTGAAAATAAAATTCAAATTTCAAGAAATTCAAGTCGAACTCTTATAGGTTCTGAAATCAGCGCGTTTATACGATCGGATAGACGGACATGGGTAGATCGACTCAGCTATTATGCCCTCGGGTACGAGATGCTTCCCTCTGGCTGGTTCATACATTTGCCAAAAAGACAACAATTTACCCTGTTTACACATTTTCAATAGTTTTAAGGTAGATTGCGAATTTCTAAAGGTAGATCGCTGCCTAAGTTATTTACACATTTGGTTGCCCTGCAAATTTCATAATGATTCAACAGTTATTTGGGCTTCAAATGGCTTGTAGGCGTCCATATGTTTGTGTATTTGTGTATGTACAGAAGCTGATGTAGATAGGCGCTGAGTTCAGGGGCATTTCGGATTAAAACACAGTAACCTGTTTAAGTATATGATTAGTAAGTAAGTTTAAATATGTAGGTATGACGTATTTGTTATTGTTTTTATAAATATAAAATGACATCAATCTGTTGATATTGAATTTCATACATTTGTTGTTATTTTGCGATTCAATAAAACAGAAATCACTTCCTTTACATTTATAATAATAATAATATTGCACAAGTATATGTGTGTGTTAAAATGAGCAACAAACAAATGCATATACAACCTATGTAATTAAAAACACTCGACACCTGCTGTTAACAAATAGTTACTCAGCCGTAATTGAATTTCCATGTATATATAAAAGAAATTTCTACAATGCAAATATGACATACCAAACAGAATAAGTATATTTAATACCTGTTACACAAATGTATTAGGTATTCTTTAAAGATCTACAGCTTTTCTGTGTATTTACATTCCTATATGCTCTTTTACAATGGGGCTGCATGTCAGTGATGGGTTGCTCACGAGTAAGTGAACAAAAAAGTGTTGCTCACTGAAATGAACTATCGAGCGTGTTCCGTTCTTATTGTTTTTTTCTTCCAGCTCAGCTGTTCACTGTTGATCAGTTATTCGTCTGTTCACAGTGTTCATGTCGAAAAGTAGTTATTTTAGTCACTGTTTTTTGGGTGTGACTGACAGTGTTGCCATTTATTTAGCAACCAAAATAGCTAGATCTTATTGTAACGACAACGGAAAACAGTCAAATGTTGTACATAAAGCTGAACAAAAAGCTGAAAATGTAGCAGGGTTTTTCTTTAATATTTGTAATAAAAGTAATAGAGCATTCAAATAAAACTAAATTTTAAAATTCTAAATATTTTAAAAACCAAACATAGATGTTATAATTGATTTAATTAAGCTTTATAATAACAATATATCAATTATGTCATCTTTGTTCTCATCCTTATCGTCGTAGGATTTGTCAGCTCCGACTAAATGCAAATTATTTGCCGGAAGTTTATTGTCAAAGCAACACTTTCCATTTTGTTGCAATCTATATTTAAAAACGAGAGTAAAGACACGCAGTTAAGTATTTAGGTATTAATTAAAATGATTATCTTATACATGCAGATGCATTAAGCGTTTCGAAATTTTTGTGTATGCACAACAGTGTCAGCTTCGCTCATTGTGAGTAAGGCTTAGACATATCTATATTAATTTATCATCAAAAAATAAGGGATAAACAAATAATTCGGATTTTTTAAGTCGGAATCCACGCTACTCGCCGTTTTCAATTTATTCCAGCAATAAGACATTCAAAAAAGCCAGATTTCTCGTTAAGAAATCTGAACTGGTTTTGCCTTGTCGCTGTTACTTTTGAAATAAATTACGAGAGTAACTAGTTACTTTTAATAATGGTAACTTTTAAAAGGTTGAATAAACATCGTCCATCCCTACCACCTTTATTTTAGTGATTAGCAATAATAATTTATAATTTTAAATTATATACACAAAACATGAGCGAGGAAAACAATGAAAATATAATCTGGACCATTAAAAATGGAGAATTAGATGCCGTTCAAACAACGTTTAGCAACGATGTGCGTTAAAATATATGTTTATTAATTTTTTGCTCAACAAAATAATATTATTTACAGACGCAGAAAGTTAACACAGAGATCAAAGGGAGATTTCCAATACATTATGCTGCTGATTTCGGCCAGCTAAATGTTCTGAAATATCTTATTAATTTGGGAGCTGATGTAAATGTAAGCATGTAATTTCATTTCATATATTTGAGCATATCGGCATGTTGTAAATGTATGTGTGTACATACATATCGGTTATTTAATGGAAGATCCTCGTAAATCAACAATAGTTTTGTGAAGTCTTAAATTGTTTACAACCTTTAATTGCAAAGAAGAACGTACGTTCTTTTTACAAAGAATTTCAAGTGGCTGCATATACGTACATATATATTCATACGTACATATACGTACGTACATGTGTATGTGTTGATGAAAGTTTGCCGTGAACCGGTATTTTATTTCATATAAAAAATGTCTGCGTGTTGGTAAAGTGTAAAAAGCTGAAAACGTTATTTCATTATAAAAGGGACTAGTTTTGAAAAACCACGACGCTTACTGCGCTGCTTACGCTATGCATGCGCTGCATCCTCGCCTTCCTATGAAGGAAAATTAATTCGTAAATGTGTGAAATTACCTTAGCCCAAGTTTAAGTCTACAATGGAGTTTCCAATTTTTTGTTGTTGAACGGGCTGGATAAGGTTGGAAAGGAACCGACAGATAGACGAATGTGGACTACTTTTTATACCCTTTTTACCCATTTTTAACAACAGCGATACATCCATGACCAACAAATAAGAATGCTCTAGTCGGGAAAGCCCGAAAGAAAGGCAACACATTTCTTTTGACACTAAGCTTCACAGAAATCAGGCCAGCTTGTGGTTTTCGTTGTCAGTTAGACCTGGGAGAATATATCTCACTGCACCCCTTTACCCAGTTTCGGTGGATTAAGGGTGGAATAAAGGTTGTGAAACAATATATTGTCGGAGGAACAGATGCAAGTGATATGGTGTATGCAAGTGATATGATGCATGCAGAGTGCTAAAGCAGCGGAGGATTAGGCCAATAATATCGATAAGAGTATTGTTAAAGATCTGTATCTGCATTTTGAACAGAGAAAAGACAAACATGGGATCACTCCACTTTTGGCGGCCGTTTGGGAAGGACACACAAAATGCGTGGAGTATCTATTGGAAAAAGTATGCTTGATAACGGAATCTATGGAAATATAAAAAAAATATTACATTTATTTTATAGGGTGCAGATAAAAATGGATCCACTCCAAATGGTGAGAGTTATGCCGCAGTAGCAGAAAATGACGAAATCAAGAAACTGCTGTCCAATGTATAAAAATAATTGTAAAACAATTTCAAATTAAAAACATATGAGCATTTTAATATATTAGAAAAGAAACAAGAACATGTAATATTTGTATTTCCATTTAAAAATTGAAGTGCGCCTAAAATTTTGTTGCGATCTCCGTGATGCGGACATCAATTGGCGGTAGTTAAAAGGGCGCCCATAAAATGTTGGTCTCCGATCTGCTATTGTAGCGAGTTGTACTCAGCATGGATGATATCGTAGCATTATTTCTACAGGACTTGGCATGCATGCCAAGCGGCTGCTATCTGGGTGAGCGCAATCACACATGTTTAACGCTGAGAAATTAAACTGGATTAATCTAAAAGAGGAGTTACAAGACAAGAGTGCGTTGCAGTACTTCGTAGCAATGCCAGCTGACTTGATTATGTCAACGGGTTGCAGGTCAAGACGGGAGCAGCTGTATTTATGCTATATTGTACTTCACTGGATGAGTTGCGCGAAAAGCTGCTGAGTTTCGACCAGATTCATCAGAAGCCGCAAAAAGCGGCTGGCAAAGCTTGCGCTTAAGCAGAAGACGGTATCAAGTCAACCAGTCGCATAGATAAGTTGTTTCAACTAGGACACAGAATGGCTGAATGCAAGCTTAGGCTGCTTGGCCAGTGGCCAGAGGGAGACTGTTTTAAGTGTTGGAGCACAGATCAATAGAATTAGGTCTGTAATTCTTTGGTACAGACGCTTAGCCGAAAATCCATTAATCCACAGATTGCTCGTTGGTCACTCGAATTGGAACATTGTGATTATCGCATCGAACATAGACCTGGTAGCAACGCCCAAGGAATTTCAATGCAAGCGAATAAATAAGTTTGAAATTGCAACACAAGGTTTCAGGCTTATTTTAGTTCATATTTATTTCATTTAATTACAGTAGAAATAATTGCCTGATCTAAAGCGCCGGCACTTACTTTTCTTCTGGCTTACTAAACACAAAAGTCAAGTTACATTTGCCACAGTAATGACGATCCTCGTGAGCAGCCATGAAGACACCAGCACCGCAGTTCTCGCCAGGGCACTCGCGTCTCAAACGATGGATCTTACCGTTCTCGTCAACCTGCAATATAAAACAAGAATTTTAGTGTTGACCATGTAATACTCCAATATTTCCAATGCAAGAGTCTCCGGTTATTGGGCGGGCGCCATTCAAACTTACTAACAAATGTCTACTTCAACAGGTAGCACGCCCACCTGTCGAAATAGCACATAAATTATATCTCACAAATCTACCTAACAAATTTAGCAAACAGCTTTAAAATCTCGTAGAGTGGACAACAAAATGTTTCACATCCACAAATAAAGAATTCTAGCTTAATGGCAGCGTCAGCTGGCATGAAAAGAGCCATTTTCTCCTTTTACTTTGTGAAAAAATATAGTTATGCTGGATAGATCAAACACTTAAGAACCTCAAGCTCAAGACCAAGACTCAAGAATTCCAAGAACAGATCGAATCGTAAATCTGTGTTCGTTATTGAAGTTATACCTTGTAGTATTTCAAGACAGCTAGCTTGACCTTCTTCCTCTTGTGCTTAATTTTCTTGGGAGTCGAGTAGTTCTTCTTCTTGCGTTTCTTGGCGCCACCACGCAGGCGGAGCACCAAATGCAAAGTAGACTCTTTCTGGATATTGTAGTCAGAAAGGGTGCGACCATCTTCCAACTGCTTGCCAGCGAAAATTAAACGCTGCTGATCTGGAGGAATTCCTTCTTTGTCCTGGATCTTGGCTTTAACATTCTCGATGGTATCCGACGGTTCGACCTCAAGAGTGATGGTCTTACCCGTGAGGGTTTTTACAAAAATTTGCATCGTACACTCCCGGGGCCAACTGAAAAAGAAACTGAGTAGTTAATATCGCAAAAATAAATCAAATAAACATTAATGATAGGCTTTAATAATAAACTAAATAAATATATAGATACATATATAAAGAACTGTTTTTGTATGTATTGTTTTTATTATTTATTTTTATTAAATGAACCAAGATACAAATAATAGTCATCTTACATATAATCATACAAGTAATACGGCATTCACAACTCCATCGTTTTCCGGATTGTTTGTAACTTGCGCATATTTACCCCAAACAACTTTGCCAGTTTGCGTTACCAAACCCAATTCAGAGATATTTACTTCTATAACCGTGCCCTTGGTCATCACACCCAAAGAGGTGAACATTGGAGAGCTGGGATTCTTTTTAACACCAATTATGGGTAAATGGAAAGTTGCTTTTAATTCTGGATGTGTGACATGCGCCTTCTTCATGCGCAATGCCATCGGCCGAATGAACCGCTCAAATTTCGGCGGTTTTCGCGTAAAGTTCTCACCAACAAAAGTGACTTTTGTTACCATGCGCTTCCAGGCCTTCCGTTTGGTCTTTCCGGTTTTCAGTACCTTAAACACTTCGGCATCGGATTGAGCACGCACTTTTGGTATGGGCACATCCCATTTGCCAGCCTTTTCTTTGCGTTTCTGTTTTATCATATTTGATAAAACCTTTGCCGTTGACTGGATGCCTCTGTCAAGCAGATAATGCGGTAGGGCTCCATCCTCAACCTTTTCTTCTTGTTTTTTAACCTTCTTCTCTTCGTGGGCTTGAATCTTCTTCTTTATTTGTATCTTTTCATTACGGCGCTCCTTGTTAAACAATTTCGCTTTAATGCCACGCAACTTCTGCGCTTTGCGGGCACGTTCCTTCGGAAGTCGCGCTTCCTTCTTGCGCTTGCGTTCTTCATAGTCGAGCCGCCGACCGAACAACTTTCGATGGCGATCCATATACTCATTTTGCGGCATTTTTGATGTACGTTCCTTCCGCCGACCTGCAACGCAAAATGTATTATTAAGTTAATACAATCGGGAAAATATGACACTGTGAATTCTCCGATGAAGATCTTAGATCATATATGCAACTGCATACATATGTGTTATGCATTACATACGCACATATGTATTTTTGATAATCCACAAGTGACATATTGTCCATACCTTACTTACCTTGATTTATAACAATTTATATAAAAATATCAACAAACATTTGAAAAATTCACATACGTATGTGCATCATATGCACATGGCATAAACATTTTCTTTAGCACTTTATCCGCTCGCAATATTACATGTACATACATAACAAATTATAGTCATGTACAATGTGCATGAAATGCACGTTTTTTCATCCGTGTAATTTATAAAAACGTTTACATTTACTTGATGATTCGTGATTAAATATTTAATTTTAATCTAGATTCTAATAATTGTTTTCTCTTTCTTCATAAAAATATTGCAATCACTTAATATTAATACTATAAAACAAATTTTCGAAAAATTTACCCACCTTAGTCTGGCAAACGTACGATAAGAAAGAACCCGACAAACGTGGTGCGGACAGGAAGTGAAAAACTTTAAAAACAAGGTTGCTTATCAATTTTTATCGAATGATTTTTAACTAAAAAATAATCATTTAATAGAATACAAACATATTCTTTTGGTACAGTGAAAAGAAACAGAAATATATATTCTAGTTAAAAAAATATTTACAAAAAAAAAGAATTAAGAATACTTCCATGGTGGAAATGAACGTAAACGATTCGGTGGGCTTCGATTCGAGCTTAAATTCATTTAGGGATTAAAATAAAAAATCATTTGAGACGTGTTTCCCACTTTTCTTAGAGTCCAAGCTTCCTGCGTGATTAATGAGATTTACAAATTTCTTTTTGATAAAGTTTTAAGTTATGCCCCTACATCTTTTCAAAGCTCTGCACAGGAACTTAATAAATACGTGCTTCAGCGATTTGATTATTTCCAGCCAAAACAGTGGTAAATCAGCGAAAAACTATTATATATATTTCATTTCCGCTTTCTAGCTTTTACGGTATGGGCTGGGCATTGATCACCAATCAGTCAGTCAATAAGTCAGTCAGTCAGGCCAAACAGATATATATAGATATTTTCAAAACATAATAAGCGTGTTGAACGTGCCTAAACTAATGCAACCTTAACTAACTAAATAAACAATTTTTTTCGTTAAACGCAGTGGATCGTGAGACTAGCGTTGCCTCCTGAACATTTTTTCGGCATCAATTGCTAACTGAAAACCCTTATCGATATCCCGACTTTTAGTATCGATATTCCTTAAGACTCCTGTCTCAACATATTAATATATTTTATTCGTATCGAGTTGAGCATATATCGCCCATCCCTAATATGTATTGACAATATTTAATTGGAACGAGCTGTTTTACTTTGTGTGATTTTTAAGTGGACTGGCAAATAAGTAATGCATAAATAAAAAGTATGAAAAGTTTCATAATGGTAGCTTCAAAACTATCTGATATAGAAACTTGATACTGATCCTGAATTTACTATAGAAAGGCAGTGAAAGAAAGGCTCACTGTGAACATGCATGCATTTATGTTTATTTTCAGTTGTCACTTTATGGGAAATTATTAGGGCAAAAATTTAAACTATTTTCTTAGACGAATGCGAAAACAGGGAAGAATGGAACAAGGAAGTGATCTCAACTTCAAGGCAAAAAAAAGTAATTTGATTTGTTTAAATATCAACACCATCACATATATTCTTTGTGTGTTTTCGACTTTTTAGCCTCAGAAAAACTGTCTGAAAATGTTCACATATTCGCCAATGACCCATCATTAGCTTTCTTTCGAATTCAGGTTTGTCTTCCTAATTTTCTTTACATAAAACAAAATAAATATTAATTTGTTCAATATGTATTCAAGGAACATATTCGTAAGGTTCTACCTGCTATTATAGAGAAACGAGCCGAAGTTCTCGGCTTGCAAAGCAACTTACAAGGACATTGCTTCGACATGGAATATGGTGTCCAAGCACTCAAATCGATAGAGAAATCTGAAAGCACTTTCTATAATATACAAGAAATTCTGAAGACTTCAATTTTTCTCAAACAACAACTAAAATATGAAGAAAGTAGAAAAAAAACGAAGAAGGAAAGCATCAAAAACTCGGTTTATAAACGATTTTCAGCGCATCTCGCATTAGAGCTTCCAGATTTGCCCGACTTTAGTGGAGTCATGCGCGACACTACCCAGCGTATGGAGACAATAATAGCAACTGGCCAAGGACTTACAAATATTTCAACTACTCAGTCCAATTCGGTCGAGCTTCAAAGGTCTCACACAACATTACATTAGTTATTTCAAGAGAACACGACTTGTTATGCAAATGAAATTCAGCACTTACTAGCTTTGGGAAATAACATATAATATAATATATAATATAACATATATATAATAACAATCTAGCGTATATATCTTCTATGGGAAGAGTCAACATTATATACTCTATATATTAAAAACACACATTCCGCGCATCTGTAAGAGCTATAAAGCTAGCTACAAGAGCTAACATAAGATTTGGTACTCTGTCTTTAGTTTACGTTGCCGCATGTCAGAGCATCGAAATATGCTCTGTGCTAATTTTATTTGTAGCGCCTTGAGAGTTTGCTTTCCCTAGTGAATGTTGAGTAACCCCTTCTATTGATTTATTTTAATATTTTTCCCTGAGCAATCCCAGTTAAGAGCAGTCTTCATTTACATCTCGCATGGATATTTGGTGTGTCTAAGTTGACTTAAAATAATTTTTTAGCTTACCACCAATAGAACAAAAAATGAGAATATTAATACCAGTCAGTTACAAAATGACTTTACTTTTATGTATTCTGTAATATACATGGTAAATGCAAGATATTTAAACAAATTGAAAAGGCAAGATAAATACAATAGTTACCTATATATTTACAAATTATAGATTGATGACATCCATTTTAAGACTTTTATACATAAATGTTAGAATATCAGTAGCTTCTTCAATTCTTTTAGATGTTGGTTTTCCAGCACCGTGACCAGCTTTTTTGTATACACGAAGTAGCAATGGATTTTTCTGAAATTCTGAATTACGCACAGC